TGTCTGTCTATCTATCTATCTATCTACCTATCTTTTCCCTTCCTTTTTTCTTTTCCCCATCCCAGTTCCTTTTGAACAGTTCCTTCCCATTTCACAATATCTATTGTACATTTTGGATCTTGTTGACTCTTTCAGCTTTTCATGCTAGGGAGACAATGTGATATTTCCACATGTGTGTCCACATGAGTATGGTCTCATTGCATTCATTTATCTATAAAAGTTGCAAGTTTATCATTCTTTATGGCTGAGTAATACTCCATTGTATAAGAATACCACATCTTATTTATCCATTCCTTGGTAGATGGGCATTTGAGTTGTTTCCAAGATCTAGCTATTACAAATTGTGCCGCTGTAAACATGGGTGAACATATATCTCTGTGGTACCATGTTTTTAATACTTCTGGGAAGATACCCAGCAGGGGAATAGCTGGGTCAAATGGGACCTCTAATCCTAATTTTTTGAGGAATCTCCACACTGATTTCCACAGTGGTTGCATGAGACTACACTCAAAGGTTTCCTTTTTCCTCACAGCCCCTCCAGCATTTGTTATTGGTCGATTTCTTGATAATAGTCATTCTTTCTGGGGTGAGATGGAATCTCTGTGTTGTTTTAATTTGCCTCTCTTTTTTTTTTTTGGTACCAGGAATTGAACTCAGGACCTTGTGCTTGCCTCACAGGTGCTTGTGCTGCTGAGCTATATCCCTGGCATATTTGCATCTCTTGAATGACCAGTGATGTTGAATATTTTCTTATATATTTATTTGCTGTTTGTATTTCTTCATCTGAGATGACTGGGTCTTTAAATTTGAGAAGTCTGGTTTTTGTTTTGAGTTCTTTATATGTTCTCAGAAGTAATCCTTTCTCTTAGGACAGCAGGCAAACATTTTTCCCCACACTGTGGGCTGTCTCTTCACTGGGTTGGCAGTTTCTCTTGCTGTGCAAAAGCTTTTTAATAAAATGAGATTCCTGTTGTTGATTCTTTGTGACAGTTCCTATGTGATTGGGGTTTTACTCATAAAGTCTTTGCCTACACCAGTGTCTTCAAGAGTTTTACCTGTGCTCTCTTTCAGCAGATTTAATGTTTCTGTTTTAACATTTAAATCTTTGACCCATTTTGAATTTAGTTGAGTGAAGGGTGAAAGATGTGGGTCCAGTTTTAATCTTCAGTGTGTGCAGAGCCACTTTTCCCAGCTCCGTGTATTAAAGCAGCTGTCTTGCTTCCAGCAAATGTGTATGGCAGCTTTGTCAAAGATAAGGTGGCTGAATGCGTGTGGAGTTGTTTCTGCATGTTGCAGTTTGTTCCATTGGTCTTCGGGTCTGTGTTTTGCCAGTGTGGGTATTCTGAACTTCAGATGTTCTATTTGGTTTAGAGACTTAAGGAATCAATGCTAAACTAAACTCCTTTTAGCCCAAGAATACCTCCAGGAGAGTGGAGTCTGCCCAGACGGGCCCTGAGTCTCCATGGTGTCCTGACATCAGTGACAGCTGGTCCATCACATCTTGTCAGTATCTTGATTCCTGGTGGCAGTTTCTGAAGTTCTCTCCATTCTTTAGAGAGTGATGTGGGTTGTTCATAGTCTTCTGTATTTTTTCAGGGCTTTAAAATTTCCAAAATTATGCTCTCATCACATTTGTTCTAACTACCCTTTGAAGGCAGTAGATCAGATACTGATTTTAGCAAATAACAAAAGTGTAGCAGAGGACAGGAGGAGCTGAGTCATTTGTGGGAAAACATGTTTCTAAATCCAGTTAGAATTCCAACTTGCCTGTTCTCTCTGGAGGTTATTGAAATTTTGATTAATTTTTCCTTTTTAAAAAATTTAAGTCTTCTTCCTCAAACTGTTTTTCCCCAGGTAAATAGAGTGAGTATATACGTGTGTACTGGTTTAGTTTCACCTGATGCTGGGGCTCCAATCCCGGGCCCCAGGTGCTGAGCAAGTACTTTGCCCCTGTGCAACAGCCCCAGCCTTAGTTTATTTTCCTCCCGCCTTTACAGCTTCTCCATGTTGGGAAAGTAAAGTTGAGAATGATTTGGGGAGGGGAGAGTTGAGCCAGAGAGCATGTTGGTAATTTTTCCCACCTGATCAGAAAATATAATGACTTTTAAAGTCGTATTTCATCTTTGTGCAAATAGCAATTCTGTTTTTGAGGAATTTTCCAGATGGCTACCCTCTTTCCTTGTAATTGAAGCTCAATTTTGAGCTGCTGTCCTAATGCAGACAGTGGAGAGTCGGGGATGCTCTATGTGGCACGGTTTTAATTGGCTGTTTTCACTTCTCTTTGTTAAACCTCCACTCGTTCCTTAGTCTGGACTGTGTTCATTGCTCTCTTTTTACAGACAGATCGATTAAGGCAGGTAAAAGTTAAGCCATTTTCCCAGAGTCACCATTTGCTGCTGTTCTTAGCTCTAGCCGAAAGGCCCGGTTCTCAGCCAGGGCACGTTATGAAGAGGGTCGCTTTTGTTTACACTGACTGCGTCCGCTTAGGCTGCAGCACATGGACACTTCGGAAAGACAGACGGACAGGCGCTGGAAAATGCTGTGAACCCTTATTAGAATTAAGATAGTTTTCTTTTGTCCATATTCTAAAGCATTTCAGAATATACTAACTAAAAGTATGAAATTTTACTTCATCAAAAGACTGAAAAATTGAGTTCTAGACTCTATCAGTAAATAGGCATTTGAAGTTAAAACCCAGGAGTATTTTCTGGATTCTCACTAAAGACCTTCCTTGTTTAACAACTAAGTTACATCTTTGCAACTAGGTTGTCAAATGAACTGGTCACTAAATGAGTTTATACAGCATGTGCATTATAACATTCAGAATAGAGAAATGGTCACAGGAAACTCCAGCTTGATGGCTGTGCTTTTATTTGCATAGCTCTGACATGCAGTACTGTAGTGTGTGACAGTACTACGGTAGAGAACAGAGCTACAGTACAGAATAATCAGCAAAACTCACAGTACTGAGCTGTAGAAGAAGCTGCCGTGAGGCCGCACTGCGCGCACACCCGTGTTGAGTCCGAACGTGGGTCCAGGTCAGAGCGAGCAGTGCGTTCAGTGTCTGCAAGTCGTTAAACAGTGGGCCACTAAACGTCTGTGTCCTGCATCTGTCCGTGTTCCTTGGGGGTCAGGAGACTCTGTACTCGGCATCCGCCAGGTCTGCAGGCAGTGGGCAGGGGAAGGCTGTTTGCCTGGCTGGGCGGAGGGAGCGGCAGGCAGGGTGGACAGATGGGGAACACTGTTCCCCTAGTTTCAGTGAGCTCACCAGCAAAGCAGCTGTGCTCTGGAGACACTTTCCAGGTAGCTTCTGGCCTCCGTGGGGATTCTGCACATAGTGGCAGCTGGTTCATTTTGAGGCATGCTTTTTATTGGTCCCTACAGTGAAAGAGCTAGTCACCCCCACCAGGAAGCAGTGTCACACACGGGTCCCCTGGGGCCCTGCCTGGGTCTGCAGGGGCAATGACCTCCTCTCCACGTGCTCCGTGGGCTGAGGGATCCCGGGCGACACGGTCATTTACACTGTGATGGTGGGTGGGTTTGCTGGGGACAGCCTGTGATAGTTTCTCCTCCCTTCCAGAACTTTGTGGTCCTGGGTGCCGTTTGCTCCCCAGGCCCGAGCCTCAGCAGAGCCTGCGGCCTCCTCAGCACCTGGCCTCTCTCTGGGTCCCGACTGTGCCCCTCCCTCCCTGGCCTGGAAGGTCAGCCAAAGTGAGCCCGGGATTTCCTGCCGCCTCCACTCTCCTGGCCTCTCTGTGGCAGGAGACCACGCCACTTCCCTCAGGCTCAGTCACCCTCGGTGTCCTAGACTCGGCCGGTGCACCGCGTCCTCCAGGAAGCCTGCCGTGGTCCTTGTGCTTCGTCGTTATCTATGCCCGTCTCTCAAACTTAAAAAAGCATTTATAGAAACATAATTAGCACGTCATACAATTACCCGTGTAAAGGCCGTGACTCAGTGGTTTTGGCTTTAGATGTGCATAGCCATCACCACAGTCAATTTTAGAGTCTTTTCATCATCTCGGAAAAGAAAAAACAACTCTGAACCTTTCAGGTATCACCTGTCTGTACTACTTTGTGTCTCTATAGCTTCCCTGAGCATGGATTTTCATGTGAATAGCATCATATGCTATGTGGGATTTTGTGACTTTTCTTTCATTGAGCATAGTATTTTCAAGGCTTGTACAAGTGTGGCATATATCGCTGTTGTGTTTCTTTTTATGGCCAAGTTGTACCCCATAGAACAGGTAGATTACACTTATGCCTTCATCTGCTGATGAACGTTTGAGTCTCCACCTTTTGGCCATCATGAGTAGTGCTGTTAGGAAGATCTGTGTACCCTTTTTCTGGACATATGCTTTCATTTCTTGGGTGTATATGAGGTGTGATCAAAGTACATGGTTAATGTTTAATATAAAAATTTTATTACAGTAAAAGACATTCCTATCCATGCCCTGCAGAATCTTCCTCCTAACTTGGAACACACTTATCCCATGGTTCTCACTGCTTTCTGCAGCTGCTCTGGAGTCCTCTCTCCTGAGGGTCTGCAGCTACACAGTCAACGCTGCCTTGATGTCCTGACTTGATGTAAAACATTTCCCTCTCATGGTCGTTGTGACTTAGGCAGAGCCAGGAGTTGCACAGTGCCAGATCTGGTGGTGGGTGAGGTGGGTGAGGACACAGCGTCATGGTTTATTCAGTGGGAACCTCTGCAGATCTACCGAGGCGTGGACTTGCCAGCATGCATGGCAGCTCAGCGGTTCCTCGAGGAACTGCCAGGTTCCTATTAGGCAGCTCATCGCAGTGTCCGAGGTCCGATATCCCACACGCTCCCCACACTTGCTGTTAACTGTGTTACTCCTGGCATTGCAGGCTAGTGGTGTCCTCTCCTTTCCCCACGTCCCTTGAGCATTCACCCTACACCCCGGGACACGGGGCACCTGGTGTTGCCAAGAGGGGCCAGAATGGGTTGACAGATGCTGCTGTGTTTGTGTTCATTCCAGCAAATGTCCCGCGGGCACCTGCGATGGGTGTGCATTCTACTTCCTGTGGGAGAGCGCCGAGGCCTGCCCGTTGTGCGTGGAGCACGACTTCCATGCCATCGAGAGCGCCTGCAAGCGAGGGCTGCAGGTGAGTCCCGCCTGCCTGCAGTGGGTGCAGCGGCCGCTCCCCTGTGGTCCATCACCCTGGGGGACGAGCGTGGGTGTCAGAGTGGAAACAGTTGGGGCTGAAATCGTGCACTGGAATCTCGACTCTGACCATCTTCCCACTGCAGTCCCGTCTCCTGCTGCATGCCTCATACGCTTTCCTTTGACCGCAGCACACTTCCCCGTTCTGTAAATGCATTGAATACACACGTGTGGAGTGACACAGCAGAAGGCCACACGCAGACACGCACAGCTGGTGTGTGCGAAAGCCGCGCGTGGCTAGGGGTGAAAGCGCCCTTCCCGATTGGCCTCAGTGCTGTGTTCCAGTTCTGAGTGGTCTCACATCTACTGTCAGGCAGCAGTAAAGACTTGACGGTTTGCTGCTCTGTTATCACGAAGAGAAAGATTTTTAAATTTTCAGGAAATTTATCTTAATCCTGTTCAAAAAAGATCCCTGCCTGCTGGGAGAATAAGTATTTCAGCTGTATTTAGATATTTTTTGTTTTCTTATAAGGTTAGAGGAAGGGATATGGCTTCTTACTACTAGTTGTAGGATGACTGGAGAGTTTAACTGAGAAAGATTCTTTTATAGTATTTGAAAAGCTTATGGAAAAAAAAAACATTTTGGATTTACAAACATCTTTTTAATTTTGAGGTTTTAGCCTGTTAGCAGACTGTCGCTAGACCTTAGAGCTTGCCATTTTCATTGGGTATTCAAACTTTGATAAAATCATAAATGCACACAGTTTTCATGGAAGGATACACCTCAGGTGAAGTCACCTTCACTGACTGGGGATTACATTTTTTGCTGTATTGTCATGATTTTCACTTAGAGATATGGCAGCTGAATTTTATCACCTCTGCATTTCTTATCTCATCATTCTTATAAAAACATGACCCATTTAAAAGTAATTTATTTTAACCGTAATGAAAATGTTACAGTTGTCACATACTTAAAATCTTCAATCACTAGTACGCTTTCTCAAAAACACTCTGAAAGTTCTTATTCAAAAAAGGATTCTCCTGCTTATCACTCACCTCACAATTTACTGCAAAAGTATGTTTATGCCTATAAGACATAAAGTTAAACATTACCGGGATGTTCCGTTACAGGTTCATAAGGTGGCAGTCGTATGTCAGAAAATTTAATGAGACGCCATAACCCAAAAATTTAATGCCCTGTGTCATTAACTGTCATTGGCCATAATCATCATTCAAATTGCTACTGATTGCTGTATATGTTGAAGTATATAAAGACCTGCAACTGAATTCTGATTTTCATTTTTGATCTGCCTTATTTGATCTATTCACTTTCAAATTTCTGTCTATGACCTGTTGTACTGACTATAGTATTCCTTGGTTAGTTGGACCTTGCTGCTTGAGGACACTGCCCTAAAGGAACTGAGTCACCTGCTTTGGAGGGTGCACGGCCCAGTGTGGGCAGTGTGACCCAGACACCTCCCCATTTGTCATGGAGAAGAGGGGGAGGTCTGTGTGTCTGTCCTCATGCCTGCCACCCATGCTGGCCTCCAAAGGGCCCCATGTGCCCTGAGGCTGAGGTGGTCGCTCTGCTACTGGAGGAGAGGCTGGACTGTGGGTGGCACGAAATCCATTCTGATGTATTGTAACAAGCAAGCTGGGCTTTCACTCATAAGCATGATTAAGAAGCCAGGTGTCGAAAACAGGCCCCAGGTGCTCTCCGTGTTCACCGTTGTCTCTGTCTTCTGTGTGTGGAGCTTCTCTAGAGGCAGTGCTGCATAGTCCTCAGTGCCCGCTGTGAGAGAAGGATTAGCAAACCCTTTCCTCTTCTACGTGAAATGTGCCCTGAGGGCAAGTTAGGTTTTCACAGCTGACTCTGCATCGCATTTCTCATACTATCTGTGGTTATATTTTTTGTTGTAAAAGGAGACCTTGTACGTGTGGAATGAACCTAAATGGTGCATTAAAGGAATTTCTTTGCCTGAGAAAAAGCTGTCGGCCTGTGAAACTATCGACTTTTGGCTGAAAGTGGGAGCCGGTGTGGGAGCTTTCACCGCCGTTTTGCTGGTGGCCCTAACTTGCTACTTCTGGAAAAAGAATCAGAAGTAAGTAACTTTGCTGGAATGATCACATATGGACTGGAAGGTTCACTTGCATTGTGAAATTTTAGTTAAATATTTTATCCAGTCGATTCTCTGGCAGGTGCTGGACTTTTCTCCGGGTGGAGGAGTTACAGGAAAGGCCTCTGAGAAAGCAGAGGAAGTGATTGTTATTCTTATCGTAGAAAGATCACAGAACATTAGAGGTCACTGAGTTTAGATTCACTTCTTGTCACACAAAGAGAAATGGAAGCTTCAGATTGCCAGGTAGATGGCAGCAGAGCTGAGACTGGAAGACAGGATTTCTCTGGTTTTTCTTTTTATAACATCATGATGTCTTCCTGCTCTACTTTTTCTTTTGAAATTCTTGTAGGCAGATATTTGCAAAGAAATAGATTAAGTATATAGATAAATATCACATTTACTTCAGTTCTCTAAGAATTTGGGATTGAATATTGAATCCAACCCCTGAACAAGTATTGATCTGTTACATGTTTGAATCTTCCGTAATGATTTACATCTCAGCAGGCTCTGGAAAATATATTCCACTATCCAGCACAATTGTAATGTCCGAGGTAGAAAGTTCAGAATAAAGGTGTAAATGATGGAGAAAGACAATGAGGATGCTCGCACTTGCCTGTTTAATATGTTCATCTTTATGAATTGAACTTTAGAAAATGTGATAGTGGGTTGGCATCCATATAAATTAAGAAAATGCTTTCAGACCTCAAGGTGTTTTCTAAATGTCTTTCGTAATGGGACAATTCAGTCAGTCAGTGTAAAATGAACTAGCTGTGTTGAACCGATTCTCTGACATGCCAGGAAATATTTTCATTTAGGTGATTGATAATCAGGAATATAGAATTGGCCTTAAGTTGGTGGAGCAGCTACATTATGAGAAGACAACTTAGTGAGCTGACATTGCCTTATTCATATAAGTGCACACTTTATCTACTATTATTTACTCCATTTGCCATGACTTAGGTTGGAGTACAAATATTCCAAGCTGGTGATGACGACAAACTCAAAGGAGGGTGAACTCCCAGCTGCAGACAGCTGCGCCATCATGGAAGGGGAAGACAACGAGGAGGAAGTCGTGTATTCCAATAAACAGTCGCTCCTGGGAAAGCTCAAGTCTTTTGCAACAAAGGTGAGAACAGGTTCTTAACCTGGATTACTCAACATTTATAAGTCAGGGCTGTGTTAACCTTCCCTGTCACTCCACTGTATCTCAGTGGTGGCCACCCAACAGAAATACACCTAGAACCACCTGGTGCAAATACAGAATACTTCTTGTAGCAGTGTTTTTACTGGTTAACAAAGTAGAAACAACTTAGATCACCACAGTTTCGATCCAGCATCGTGACGCTCTGGCCAGGCAGAAGTACGGGTGGGGGTTAATCTGGAACTGTGTTTGAGCCTTCTGGTGTGGCTGTCACTAGAGGTTGTACCCAGGAAGCCTGGGGGTTGCTGCTGGAGGAAATAGAGACATTTCTTGCCCAGGAGTGGTCAGGCAGAATCCTGGGCTTTCAGATAAGGTGTTTGTGGGGTGAGGGTGTCACCCTTCCTGATGGTTATCTATGAGGAGGCCGAGAGAAGGTTCCCCTCCAAGGAGAGCCGTGTTTAGTGACCACATTGCCTCTCTTAAGTATGTGGAGCAGGGGTGGTGAGGGAAACGGTCAGAACTTCTGTGATTACTTTCTGAGAAGGCCTGTGGAGGACAGGAAGTGCCGGAGGTCCACTGAGTACTACTCTTGGCCCCTTTCTAGGTGGCTTTTGTGATCAGAACTGAACCCGGCAGGCTTCAGATTGTCCATAAGGCCGCAGATGCCGTGCATATTTCTTCCAGGGCAGCCCTGGCCAGGCTGGGGTTGGTCGGTCAGGGTGGGGCCACCCAAGAGCCCAAAGGTGCTCAAAGGCTTGATGCCATCAGCTTCCCAGGGACAGACTGGCCAGCCTTTAGCGCAAGTCCTGGGTCTGTCGTGGTAACCTCTGCACCAGAGAAACAGAGCAGCGCTTTGTGGCCAGGACGTGCTGCCGGACACCTCTCCAGGCTGGGTGCTGGGATGGCCCAGCAGCGTCTGCAGCTGTTGGTCTCAAGCAGCCTCTACAACAGCGTGGTTCCATGTTGTCCTTTTACAAGGCGGTACCCACTGTGAGCGGCTGTGTGGTTGGGGTACATGGCCTGAACAGAAGCTAAGTGTATTTCCAGGGCCCGTGGCCCCAGTTGGGGTGGCTTCACTATGCCAGCCTGTAGTTTTCCAAGTGGCAGACAGAGCAGATAGGCCATACGCAGTAACTCAAAAGGCAGTGAAAATATAAGAGGTTTATCAAAGGACGAGTTGTCCGTGAGGACGCTTTGGTTTCTGCCCACAGAGCTGAGAGGTCCTGTGAGTTTCGGTTGTGTGTGCTGCGGCTGGACTGGGACGGTGTCAGCTGTCTGGGTACAGAGCGCACCTGGCTAGGGACTGTGAAGTCCAGGGCTCCACTGACTGGCTTTACACAGGAGAGTCGGGGTGACCGTTTCCCTGAGGACGTGCTCTTGTATTGTTATTCAAGCCTGAGATGCCATGGAGGCCACGCCAGCTCAACTCTCAAATATGTTTGAAAAGCCAGGCTCGTTGGGCCCGTCCTGCCTTGCTGACCAGCTGCAAGCATGACTCCAGGCTCTGCGTGGCAGTGAGACTCAGCTCTGTGGAGCTCAGTCACGGCAGTTCTGGAAGTGCTGTAGCTGCGGGTGTGGGGATGAGTCTAAAGCTAAGGGGCCCGTGGGGTGAGGCTGCCCCTGCTGCCAGAGTCTCCCTCTGGAAAATCACTAATTATGGGCCCTTTGTGTACAGGGTTGTCCTGGGGGTTGTGGGGCTGCAGGGGTGGAGTGTGGCCCGGCTTCCAGAAAGCTTCAACATAGCTTGCGAGGGGGACCCTGCTCACAGGACACCATTACGGGGTGGCTGGTGTGGGGGCCTGTGTGTCTGCAGGGCAGCGTCAGGCACAGCCCCACTGTTCCCCTCAGCTGCTGGGTGGACGCGGCGCAGCACACCTGCACGTGTTGGTCCCGCACGCCCCAGGGGCTTTGGGCAGCTGCCCCTGCGCTGTGCGGGGCTTTCAGGCTGCCTCTGTGGTGGAGTGGGCACAGGAGGGACCGTCAGGCGGGGGTCTGCCCGCTCACCAGTGGACACTGTTGGTGGTGACCACACGGCCCTCAGAAGGCGGAAGTGCTTGTGTGGAACTCGCCTTGCTGCTTGTTGGAAGTGGAGAGGAGGAGCGCCAAGCGGCTCCTGGCCCTTTTCAGTCCGGGACTCTTGCTCCGTGGCCCTCCGTGGGGAGGAGCAGCTGTCACTCCCATCCTGGGAGCAGCAGTCGTGTCCGGATGGGTGCACAGGATCCTCCAGTGCGGGGTGCGTGGTTTCCTCCCTGCTCTGGCACTTGCTCCGGTCCCCTCTCCCCTGGGCTTCCGGTCAGATGGGGCCTGGAAGCTGCAGTCAGCAGAGGTGTGTGTTAAGCGCCCCTCTCCGGTCCCTTGGCTGACGCGGATGTGTATGTCTGGTCCTCAGGCCTCTTGGTGATGGTTGAGCTTGGCTTTCTGTGTTAATCAGCTTCCCCCTTAAGGCAGCAGGATCGTGGGGAAGGAAGGGCTAGGGCAGAAGGAAGGGCTAGGGGAAGGAAGGGCTAGGGTTTCTGCTGGCTCCTGCATCCTTGTGGGGACACAGGCTGGTGCCTGTCTCCGACTCCCTGAGGGAAGGTGGGTCCTCTCTTTCCTACCTAGT